TGTGGTGCTTAGGGCCATGGTTTAGTGGTGGCCTTGGCAGTGCTGGGTTAACGGTTGGACTCGATGATCTTAAGGGTCTTTTCCAACCCAAACGATTCTGTGATTCTATTCAGGCATTCCCGGCATGCCCCAGGTCTGATAGGGAGATATCACAGCAGGTTCCAGACATCCTTTGGTTGCACAGGGTAAGAAAAACCAACCCAGCCCCTCATTTCTCTCCTATGGATGAACACAATCTGGAGTAGAACCCTGTGAGGGAGCCCAGTGCTCCTTGCTGTACACAGACACTGTCCATGCACCGGGGGAGGTCATCGTTACAGCTCCCTAAAACTCTCGTCCTTCAACTCCTCCCTCTGTAGGGGAAAGCAGATCTGGGAGGCACCGATTCCTCTTTCATCTCGGCTTTCCCCACACTCCGCAAAGCATAACGGGACTGAAACAAGCGGCGACCGGTGCATCGGTGACTTCCCACGTTCCCGCTCCAGCAGCTTGAGGGCTCATTGCTCATGGCTGGGCCCAGAGGACACTGCTCCTCGCTCCCACCCCCAGCCACCTGAGGACGGACACTCAGCCCCGGCTGCTCGCTTGCACCATCGCAGCAGGCGCAGAAGCATCGTGCCAGGGAAAAGCGGCTGGGGAAGGCCAGGCTGGAGCTGCCTGGCTGTGGGGCTTCTTGCTGGGAAAAGTGGGCGCTTACTCTCGGAGTCACTTTCTGAATGCTGCAGAGGCGCCAGCCCCCGCTTCAGCTGCAGTCTCTGCATTGAGGACTGTTTCCAAAACATGCATCCACCACAGTAAAATGCAATCTATTTTATTGGTTAATTATATACAGGAGATTCTTGATATTCACAGTAACATTAGACAAGTTACTTCCACAAAAAGCAAGAATAAAACCAAAAGTGACAGTCCACTGTAAACAAAACTAGAAATCCTGCTGGATTTGGTGGGACCGGCTCCAGACAAACTGAAAAGGCACTCAAAGAAAACCAACAAAAGCCAGCTGATGAACATAGCCCGGATACTTCGTGCACTTCTTCCAAGATGATAATCCAGAGGCACAGCGTGTGGAGACCAAACATCAGGGTACGAAGACAGACGCAGGACATCACATTCCAAGCACGCTACATGTGTGTTGACATACGAATTTAATTTACTCAAGTCTCATAATCATTAGAGTCCTCACCTCCCTCCAAGCACTACTTCATGCGAGGTCAGCGTATGAGGACGACTTTAAATACAGCCAGCAGAAAGGCTGGGCCTGCACCAAAAGCAGTCAGTGGAAGTCACCTGCAGGGAGGCCGGGTTTTGTTCAGACTCTGGCAAAGCAAACATAAACCCAGGCCAAGAACACGGCAGCCGGTGGCATCTGGTGGACCAGGGGCGGGCTGGGACGCAGGGAGGTAGGTGGCTTCTCTGGATTGTCAACACTGAACCAAAAGAAAGCACGGCCAAAGCTGGCAGGGAGGCGTGGACTGGAAACGTCCCTTTCTCAGTTGTGCCTCGCTGTATCAGCGAGCTCAGAAGCGGAGAGGACACAGCCCTCCATCTTCTTCCCTTAACCACCTTCCCTCCAGACCTTCCCTTGCGCGCCCCTCCCCAAAGCCCAGCCTGGGCTCGCACTCCTAACTCGGGTACTGCCCAGTGCTCAAACCGTCGTTCTTACAGCTGCTGGGAGGCAGCTGGGGTGCTTGCTAGACCCCTGCGAGACTTCTGCCCAGGCTCCTGCTCCTCAAGTGACCACTGCGAGGTCAGCGCCACCTCCCTCTCCGCACCTTCTCCTGCGCGAGCATGGGCAGGAGAGGACCCTTTGAAGACAGAGGTACTCATCCTCGGGGGGGAACAGTTTCAAGGGCACAGGCGTTACACGTAGAACGAGGCAGAAAAGCTAACAAGAGAACCGAATTTATATTGTAAAAGCCACAGCTGTTGCCTGATCTCCACGTCATTCATTTCTGATCACTTGAATCGGAGAATTCAAGTCTGGTCACTTGAATGCAAGGAAAGGTGGCTAAAAGGTGACAGCAAGATCAGGCCAAGCAGAGGTTCTATTTTAGAGAAAGACACAGCAAGAGGTATATGACATCAGATTAGTGTCATCACGCAAAACCACTCGTGACTAAACCCCATCATCAGACATCCCTGCAACGGCAACAACTCCATCTCGTTCAAGAGAAACCAATCAGAGCTGTGTTGGCAACGTCGGCCCTGAACGCCTTCAGGGATCGAGCCCCTGCGGCGTAAAGCTTTCAAAACATGAACAACCATCTCCAGCACTTAACTGCTTCAATTTTCTCTGACAAGCGCTACGATTTCCTCACAGCTCCCGCACAGGGATCGGAAGGGTCTCTCTTCCGCGCTCTCAGAGAGGCGTGATTGCTTAGAGGGCACAAAAGGTTTTTACCTTCATGACAGATGCAGAGAGTATGTCCTCCTGCAATCTGTTACAGACATAACTCCCTTCAAAGATCAGACTGGGGAAGAGCTTTTCCTGTCTCTCATCAGGAGGTGGCTAGAATTTTTCCATGAAAATAACTTTGCCTCTTTCATCCAGATGCGAATTTGCTACAGAAAGCAGCTCTTTAGAAACCTGAGCCTGCTTTTAACTCATCTCCTTTTATTCTGCACTTGCACCGCCCAAAGAAAACAAGATGTCCAAATAAATACCTGGTGTCAACCCACGGTTGACTTTAGTGGTGCAATTCAAGATCCTGGCAGCGGCAGCAACAGACTTCCCGCTGCCTTTCAAAGAGGGTGGCAGGGCGAGGGTGGCTCTCAGCTGCATCAGCACAGCGAAGAGCCCACATACGCAGGGATGGGCCTCGCCCTGTGAGGCTTACAGGCCAGAGAAATGGAATTCCTCTTCAAAGATCAGCTTTTCTTACGCAGCTACGGCTAACAGTGTGACTAGTAGCATCTTCGGAGAAAAAATTGCTACTGCATGTGCCCCGATACTTCCACCTCAAAAGGATTCCCTGTTCTCATGGCACATCCCAGACATCAGTCCCAGTCTGAAAGTGGTGCCTGTTTTTCAGTGCCCTTCTGAAAATCCCACCGTCTTCCCTTTCAGCCAGTTCCTGGCACAAACTGGGCATCCCAAGTAGAACGAAGACTCCAGTTTTGCACCAGACTCTGCACAACAGAGTCCCTACAACAAGAAGTCATTTAATAACAAAGCCCTAAACCAGAACTGCTCCCTAGAAAACCCAAAGCATGTTCTGGGCATCACGCGTACAGTAAGCTGCTTTTGCCCGTGTCACAGCCTGTCTTGCCTGTGAAACGTGTAGAACGGGAAGTTTACTGCGCTACAACACTTGCCCACCACTGGCACTGATAACTCTGGCACCTCCAAGCTAACATGGTCACAGCATGATTATTAAGACAAAAAGGAGTCGTCTGGGTCAGGAATACTTTTTAATCAGCCCAAGCGGCTCCAGATTTCACCTGAGAAGAGACGGAAGGCTGCTGTAGTCCTGTCTTTTCTTTCTTCTCTTCCCCAAATCTCTCCTTTACAGGAACATGGTTGTTTTACTTCCTTCATCTCAATCAAGGAATGCCCTCTTCAGTCATCTTAACCTTTAGTGTAATGAAATCATTATTTAGCTCTTGCCTCATTTATGGAACTAGTTTTAGTAAACCAAAAGCCTAGCTCTAGATCCATCCAGGTGCAATTCAACATGAAGTAAATGCGGGTTCGATGGTTTATTTAAAAATCTTTCTGCCCTGTAAATACGCAATTCTTGTCCTGCGTCTACTCTGTGTATTTCCACAATTTGGAAGTGAAAGCAGCCAAACCCCAATGTTATCACTTGCTGGATACATCAGAAGATTAACAACACTCGTCACACTCTGATGGCCTTGGAGGACAGACTCATCTAGCACGAGTCACATCCTTGCGTCAGAGTACTCCCTTGCCAGGACACACCTGAGCGTGCCTGATGTGCAGCACCAAGTCTTCCTCAGAGGCTGAGTCCTTCTGCAACAGAAGGTGTCATTGGCCCCAAAAGCCACAATGCCAGGGAGATCTCCTCCCCTGGCATTATGTACATCATGAAAAAAAGGAAAATTAAAATAGCCATTTGCACACGTAGGCTCCATTGGCAACTCTCATCTTTACCTACGGTTCATAAAACCCTCACAGATGAGCATTTAAACTTAAAAATAAAATGCTTTGATTTTTTTTTTTAAGAATAATTTCTACATTTCTGTCAGCCGACTAATTTCAATCATGGCATAATCTAAGAATAAAGCAAATCCTAGCCAAGAATGGCTACCACGGGACCCTCAAGAGTCAACCCTGCTGCCAGCCTGCAGCAAGGGGAGCAGCATACCCCAGCTCCTCGCATCCCTACACCCCAGCTAGGAACTTGTGGTGAACTCCAGTTGATTTTCTTTATATTGTTTCTCTTTCAGCTTCGGAATGATCCAGTCATCATGATGGCTGCACTTCAAGAGAGCAGTGGGGTTGAGAGGCTTCTGGGCAGCACCCAGCGTTAATGGCAGTGCTCCGTGATATCCACAACAACTGCCTTTTTCCAGCTGAAGAAGAAATAGCCCGTCCCCGCTCCGGCCGCCACAGCTATGCAGAGGTATCCGTTGTACGTCATGAAGATCAGCATGAGGAAATAACTGACCACGACTTGAATGATGTGCAATACAGTCTGCAGGAGGTGAGGGAAGCTCAGCATCTGCTGTCTGAGAACACAAAACCCCAAAGAGCAGTCAGCATCCATGAGACACAGGCAGGAAAATGCACATCCCCGAAGAGAAGACTTAGCTCTTAGGCTGACAGGATGCCAAGGTGGGCATGAAATGGCAGAGAAGATAACAAAGCAGGCTGGACATAGACTTCTGCATGCATCTGTCACTTGTAACTGTGTTTTTCCCCACCGAGCTGACTGATAACAAAGAAAGCATGGTACTTGCTGGGGGGACAAAACTTTTAGCTCAGAAACAGGCTTCTACAAGCTTATTTTACCCGCACACTCAATAAGCAGAATGGCTTCTTTTCTGAGTAGAGGCTTTGACTACCTATGAACAGAAGGATCCTAAGTATTTTCTGTCAGGGTCGCTGGCTGTAACACCCAAATTCTGTTCCTGGGAAATCCCCAAATGTGTTCGTTACTGCTCTGGGAAAAAAACAAGCTTATCTGACTCCTTGCTGCTTTCCTCCTTTTGTCCCCCATCCTAAAGGGTGGCCAAGTGACTCAAGCACAGTGTCCCCCAGTGTCAAGCAGCATCCCAATCTGGAGTCAATATACTTTGCAGAGGGTAATACTGGCTGCATAAAGTTTTCTTCCTGTCCCAGTTTTCACCTTTGTCAGCTGCTGAAGAAATGCGTCTTAGAATGAAGTGAAATTCTTACCCAACAGTTTTGTGCGTCTCCATCAAGATAGTGCCATTGGGACCTGGCACTGGCATGGAGTTGTAGCGAATGCTGACTTGGGATTTACGGAGCAGACACTCTCGGGCAATCTTAAGGCCTTCATAAAACATGGCCAGGAAGAAGACAGCCACAAAAGCACCAGCCATTTCTGACAAAAGAGGAAACATTATCGTATCTGTGCAACAAGACATTTGCTTCAAAACGTGTCAGAAGAGACACGGTGTGATTCAACAACCGCGTCACTGCACAGGCTATGGCTGGGCACTGTGTGCACACGTGTACAGCTGGTAAATGTGAATTTCATCCATAGACTAATTGGAATTTCACCCATGAAGTGAAACCAGCAATCGCTTTTGCTAGTAAGATCAGTCAAATTCT